AAATTCTGCGTCATATACCCTGGAATTCCCCAGCAATACGGGCAGTATTTGTGTGACCCATTGGCATGTTAATTTAGGGCTGTGAAGCAATATAAAAACGCTGGGACTTGCTAAATCAATATTTCGTCTTTTTCAGAGAAAAACATTTCCCTCCGTTCATTTATTTCTGTTCTACTGTCTCAATTACTCCCTCTCATCATCTCATTTTCCCTCCTGTTTCGTATTCTCATTAACGCCGCTGCCCTGTTGGCACTTTGTCTCCCCTGCTCCCCCCTTTGTGACTTTTTTCCAACACCCCCCCACTTCCAGTGCTTCGATCCCTTCTAATAAACAATGTGTCAGATGCATGAAAGTAACGGGAAAGCAAGAGACATCCAATTAAAAGCACAATGCGTTATTATTATTTCACAGCTCCTCCTCTCTACCATCTTCCCGAAAATCCTTCAGATTATGTAACGGCTCAGTGTCAAGGGAGCCAGCCCATGGAGAACAAGTTAAGGGGGTCTCTGCCGACGATGCAGCTCAGCAACTCTGGACTTTCCCCAGCAGATGCGTACAGCCCCTCACTCCTCCTCCTTCTGTCCAACCACCAGCCCACACTCTCCCTGCCTTTCCTGCACACACACACGCACACACACACACACACACACACACTCAATCAGGAATGCACAGGGATTGCAGCAACAGCAGCAGCACCGCGAGATGGAGATCTCCGCTGCGTGTGTGAGTGCCTGTTCCCGGTGAGTGCGGGGACAAGAGCGAATGAGTGTCAGTGATGCTTGAATGAGATGTATAAGGGAGAAGAAGGGAGGGAACGAAGTGAAAGGAAGAAGAGGGATATTAAGTGAGGACCTCATGAGGTTTTGAGACGGTGTCTGTCTGCTTTTTTTTCCCCCCCCCTATCCTGATAACCTGAATCTTTGCCGGATGTACCACAACTACTCCAGCTGTCACTGCACTGGCTGCCTATCTCTCAGTACTCTCGTGGCTTATGAGAGCTGCTCCAGTGGCTGGATGGTACCACAGCACCAGCTGAATACATGGATGAACACTGGATCTACTGGGGATCTGTGCTTTCTTATCCTTTGCACCTCTGATCCGTTTCTTAAGGTAAGACATACTTCTTTCTTTGATTTTTTTTGCAGAGTTTTACGCAGGTGTTGCAGTAATAGTGGGGGATGCATTTTGCAATCCTTTCTGAAATGACAATTGAATGAAAAGCATGAATTCTTATACAGCTGATGAGTGTCAAAGTCCTTGTGCTGGAAGCATACGTATTATCCCTGAATTCATTATTCATTACAACTGAAAAATGATTAATAGTGGTGATGTCATTTGACTTTGATTAATATCTCTTTTCCTGACAAATCTTTGGAGCCTTTGGCAGGTATACAATATTTACCTAATGATCAGAGACTTATGGTAAAAAATTGTCGTTATTGAAAATTGTCCGAGCTAGATAGAGAGGAATATTGATGAGTGCTCACTAATAGACTATTGCAAATTTGACTGCAACACACTACCGGAATGAAGGTCCCCAATAGGAAACAACTCATTGTATTAAGTGCTTTAAACTATATGATATGCAAGAAGCAATGCACTGCCAAAGGCCAGATTTGATAAAAGGTGGATTTAGCTTTATAATGACTAATGACATGTTTGATCTGGAGGGCTCTGGGGTACTGCATCACATACAGAGCGGCACTTGTATTTGCTCTCAGCCACCCCCCACCATTCCTGCTCTGTCTCTCTGTGACACTCTCTTTTCCACACATTTCATTCCTACTAATTTTACAGGAAACAAAGATGTAACATGCTTTTAACCGTTGTGTTTCCCTCGTGTCATTCATACCCCTGGACTCAGTGTGTCCCTGGGTATGCCCCAGGAGGACACATGACGGTTATGGTATCACTGACATAGTTGGATTATATATTAAATGATCTGTGTCAGTTGTAGAATTTTCATTGCCTTGATATATAAATGCACCAACTGATGTCATGTACCAAATGTTCAACCCCTTATAAATCCCCGAGCTTATCAGCATTACACATTACAGATATCAGACTTAATAGCCATAAAAGGCCTATTTTCTTCAACATTTCATATTAAAAGAGACTGATACTTTCTTTGGAAAAAAAAACACACACAGCAAAAAAGCACAAAATGGCTCTTTTCCCCGTCAACCACTTCCACCTTTTTGTTCCCAAGCATTCATTTCACAGCCTACATGATGTTCCTTTAACGCTGCCACTGGTCCTCTCTGGCAGAATGGTCAGCTCAGTGGTGAATGTTTAAAACTGATAAAGTCATGAAGCAAACTTTCACAGGTTTAGCCTGCAGCCAGGATACACATAGCTCCGTGCGACAACTTGGATACATATGATGTGCTTGTTTTTTAGACTGTGAATCTCTTAAACCCTCTGGCAATGTACTCGATACACAAGTATATTGAGGAACATTGAGGAAGACATTGCCGCAACATGAAGTGTAAAAGAGCTAAACCTTTCTTCTACACGTGCCCAGTAGTGCAGCAATCCATAGGACCAAGTTCAAAGCCTAATGGGCAGAACTAAGGCATACGTTGTTCTGTGACTCCTAAACTGGGTGGGTGCAAAGTTGGTGCAATGTCATGCTTGGTAATTAATAGAAATAATGAACAAAAATCCTTCAGACACACAGAAGCAACATGGAACATAATTGAAAGAAATTCCATTGCCGTGCAAATGTTTTCAACTGTCATGTTAGAGTCCCCCATGTTTATGAATGCTCAGTCTTTATTGATTTTTTAGGTGTTTTGTCAAAGAGTGTCACTTAAACGTTAATCAGAAGGCTCAAGCCAGAGTCATCATGAAAATCCCATAGAAACAATTTAGCAGTTATTGTTATGATGTGAGTTGCTGTGTCTGGCTCTGCTTTGCAACAGGGAATAAATCATGAGTCAGCAGTGTTACAGACCCACTACCGCACAGACAATATGATAAAACCTGTATTCAAATTCTTTATAAAGAGTCATGTTTCTACAACATAGTGGCCATGATAATCAATCACGATACTGTAGCTAAAGATGTTTTTATTTTCACACATGCAGGATTTTAGTTTGAAGAACTGAAGGGCAATTGGTACAGACAACGTGGTCTGCCAGGGTACATAAGGAGATTTAAGAGGATTACTTTTGCAATTTTAGAGTCAATGCATTATTCATAATCCTTTGGATAGCTGAGGCCAAATCAGGGAAGGACCTCAGGTCATTAGCACAGATAGCATGCTGTGAGGAGGAGGGCTTGGAGGAGGAGAAAGATGATGCTGAGAAAAAAGAGATTCGCTTTCAACTGTCGATGAATATGTCCATGTGTCACAACAGTCTCTCACTCTGTTCGTGCTCACTCTCTTTGTGCATCTGACTTCCAATAATAAGAAGGCATTGAAGAGCTTTTCTTGATTCCCTTTTTTGTGAATTCCCATTTAGCTGCTTTACATGCGTTACATGTGCTTAGAGGAGACTTCCTGCAGATGTGATTACCTTTTTCAGTGGTGTGAGATTGGTGTTTCTGAGTGTGAAATAGTATGATATCATGCGAATCAGCCTTGAACAAATTCTTTTATACATGGAACCGCTTCAACAAACAACTTGATAAATCAAAGGGAAGTGCACACTAAGCTGTGTATCAGAACACATAGCGGTGCCCCAATAAAATTCTTCCGCTTGATATTCCAAAACAACTGCGGGTAAATTCATGACGCAGCATACCATATTGTTCTTGCATTTGACATTGAGCTGGTTGTTTTTTTTTCTTCTTTGCCTTTTTGCCATTTTTTACCATCTGGCTGTGAAACATTGCAGTCAGTGGAGTGACACTAGCTGTGCTTAGGCTGAATTGTGTTCCACAACATTTCACTCAGAACATATGTAATTTCCCCTACAGTAAGAGCTGAGATTATCATGTAAAGGCTGCTCTGTGAAATACATAGCAGGAGTCCTAAAAGCACAACCTCTTACTTTTTGTTATCTGCTCTTTACCCTTTTTGTTTCTTTGCGTGCGTGTGTGTGTGTGTTTACCTGTGTGTGTCTACAGCCTTTAATATACCATGTCCCTCAGAAAAGGAACCCACAATCCCAGAAACTGTAATTCTCGCTCTATGTTCTGACAAACACTGCACACACAATTCAATCAATTCTAAATTTTATTGAGAAGCTGTGAAATTAAAATAAAGCACAAGTTTTTTTCCCCAAATGCCCTAAATCAATAATTAGATTTTCAATAGAACATGGTAAGCAATTTGGGACAATGTTCAATCTTTAAACTTAGACACCTTAGCTGGACCTTTGGATAAGGAGTCCCACTTCTCTAAGTTTTGATTTTAGCTGTTCAACAGTCCAGGGCCACCATTGTTGTATTTTGTATTTAACAATGCGAAAAGATGGTCCTGACTGCACACAGAGTCCTCAACTATGAGGCAATGCTGTTGTAAAAGCTGACAAATGTCCATATGTCATTCAGTTAGTTCTATAACAGAACTGTGTCTGTCAGTGCCTCACCACCTCAGGTCTATTAAGAACAATGGCATTAAATATGGATTTTCAGAGCAGTCCCTTGTGCACTGAGATATTTCCGTGACAATTCAAAGATGCTTTTTTTTTTTTTACCTATGAGACTCTTTTTAAATCCAACATTGTCGATGCCCCGTTACCAGTTAAGCTAATTAGTGGCAGTTTGTTCCTACAGCTGTTTCTTTTTTCTCTTTTTTGAGCCATATTGCTGAAATTAAATGCAAGATGATGCTTTTTTTATTACCATCCAATGTCTGTGGTATATTGTGAGTATTAAAAACTGATTTTTTAAATTTATTTCAGATTTACACAGGATCACAACTGTATCCAAAATATGCTTACAACAGTAATGTAGGGTAACGAGCAACAGAATCAGCTTTGATAACATTAGCAGTTAACCATTTTGTGTAACCTCTGGTGGAGCTGCTGTGTCATTCTAACAACATGTACTGTAGATGTAGATAAAGGGTACGTCAGAAATTAACATCAGTGTCTTCTGTTTATCCTTTTACTTCACCAAATTTAACGGAGGCAGTAAAGCTGACAGTAAGGAAGGATCTCTTCAGTGTACATTTCCCACCAGAACAATCACATTGATGGATTTACAATGTCTCTGGATGATAAAACATAATTACTTTCAGAGGAGCTGCAACACCATGAATAGCTTGCTTTTGTGTGGTAATAAAGGATTCATTGGAGTTTATTTATCGCATGGTGTCTTGTCATATGAAAATGATTAACCAGCTCTCTTTGACGTTTACTTCCAACCATATCAGACATCATTTAATTTCCTTGTGCTGCTTGATATATTCCATGCACTTGCAATGAAATGTGTTTCATCATAGATGTGAAAGAAAATGTGATTTTATTCTTTTTATCATTTGATTATGTACATGTAACTCTGACATTTTAAATTGGGAGTGGGTACTAAGAAAATTCTCTTTTGTTATTTTAAATTCACTTTAAAATTTTTATGCAATTAAATCTAGTAATGGTTTCATCAGTCTATATTCTTCACTAAATATATAGAAATGAAGAAATACTGTAAATCAAGGATATCTGTGAAAAAAAGGAATGAAACAGTGCTACTAGTAAATTAGCTATAAATCCTAATGAAATAAATTGATTGTTTTAATAGTGAAACATTACCAGACACATGCAAGATAAACTTTACTGATGACCTGTTGATGTTTTTTTTTCATAAACCTATAATTAGGAGATAGTTTATGGTTTGAGCGTCTGAATGTACCACTTTTGTGAGACCATTGCTTTTGCTGGGTACTTCAGAAACAAGCAGAATATATTAATAGTAAACCCCTTTTTTTGTGGGGCTAAGCACCAAACACAATGGGGTCACGTCTTGATAGAACAACTCTTCAATTCTTATGGGGAATATCAAGCAATCATATCACAGCGTTGCACATATCTTAGGAAATGATGAATGGCCTTGATAAGGACGTGGGTGGATACCGGGTTACCTACAGGTGCAGCTAAGCACATCAGAGCACAGTGGTAAAAGGTTGTTTAGATGTGGTTATGATACGAGGCACAGCAAAGCTAAGCTCAGTTGTTTGGGGTGAAATGTTTCCCTAATGCATTCCCTAATGTCATTTCTATGTGCAACATAAGTATTTGAAATGAATGGCTTGTTTTTAATGAAGTAAAGGTACAGTATTACATAAGAGTGGCCAAAATCTGCTGTTGTAAGTCAGAAGATGAATATTGAAACGTGTATACTGCTGTTTTGATTTCTGTGACAGCAAAAGGATGTGTCATAATGTTTTGTCACTCATGGTGTCAGCCACCTTTGGCAATCCTGTTATTGTAAAGTTACTAATACACCAAAAACAGTTACATTTATAACTGATTAACTAAACTAAATGACACGGTGATGAAAAAGAGCTATTTCTAGATTAATTTTAGTGTTTGGGAGTGACAACTGACATCACCAGGAGACAGTATACAGTATTTGAATAATGGCAGCATGAACACAATTATTATTCTACAAAGCATGTCCTGAAGCGAATCATCAAACAGCTGGCAGGAAAGCTGGCCTGCAAGATGCAACTGTTCATAAACAACAGTTGTAAGCACTCAGAGAGTCGAGCTGGGCTGAGGGAGTGCTAACATAACATGAATAATTTCCAGAAGAAAGTCTTAATCATTCATCTCTCTTATGCATGGCACTGAATGCAGGTGTGTGCTAAAAATTGTATGGCAGCTTAAATAAATCTACTTTATATTCACCTTTGAGGGGCTTCTTCCCAGTGGCATCTGTTGCAAGACTCCTTGCAAATGCAATTAGGCACTCAAACTGAGGGACAATATTCCTGACAGAAAAAATGCTGTAGAGAAACTTGTATTGTTTAAAAGAATATATTGAGAACTCTGTTTGAAGAATTTGTACAAAATGAGAAAATCGAATTGGGATACATTGATTTGTTGTGTCTTAGCAGTTGGATCCCTTTTTAACAATGTATCATCAAGATTGAATAATTTGCTCACCAATCAAATGTCTTCCCATGAGGTGCCAGAGTAACACCCAAACTCTCTTTTTGTGTCTTTTTTAGGAAATATGGTGAGCAAAGAGGACACAACATGTGTTCTCTCAAATTCAGATGAATCAGACTCAGATACAGGCCTATCACACTCTGCACCGTCCGGATCAGAAGCAGCCAAGCAGCAGGTGAAGAAAAGAAACAAAGCACTTCAAGTACGTTTCAAGGATATCTGCGAGGCTCAGAAGGATCATCGGGGAAGACACTCAAGGTCCATATCCTGTAAAGTGACACACAGGAAGTACATGACCATGCCTGCTAGACGCTCTATTCCAAATGTTACCAAGAGTACTGGTGTCCAGACCTCTCCAAACCTCACCAAGAGATACAAGACTTTCCCATTTGAAAAGAAAAAAGGACACACATTTAAACATATTGCTTTGGTGGAAGATTACAGAGGACAAAACAATGGGTTTTTGAGTGATATAAAGACAGGTGGAGAGGACGGACAACCTATTGGAGAGTCGTCAAAGTACAAGGGTAAGATTGTGGGGCAGACAAAAGCCCTGCTACATCACACAGGTGAGAGTAGTGACACAGATGATTTACTTTCCAGGGCCAACTGTGTGGATGGACTCTTGAGTCCAGACTCCTCACATTTCTCAGAAGAGGGGCAACTGAGTAGTCCTCCTTCTAACAGTGCAACAGAGCAGCAGGTATGTGGCAAGTGGACGAAACACAAAGGATTATCCAAAGACGATATGGAGGCCGGTACTTCCTCAAAGCGCCAGCTGGCCGACTATGAGTCGTCACAGGACAAGCTAAAGGGCGCGGGTCCTGTCGCATGGAATTCTTGCACAAAGGTGGAGTCAATAGGAAGCCCCTCTGTGAGCTGTAAGCGGAAAAAGGGTACACAGCTAAATGAACAGCAGTCACGGACATTTCCCCATAGTGCTAAATGCTCTGTGCAGTCACAAGGCCAGTGTCGGACAAGGCATGTGTCAGCCTCCTCTAAACTCCAGCAAACGGTTGAAGGAGATGAGGGATTTCCACCAAGAGGCACGGGAGCCGCAGGCATGGGGAGTATACAGCAGATAATGCCCTTATCTGGAGACAAGGATATCAAAGCACAGCTGCAGGCTATGGAAAGCCTCATCAACTCAAGCCAGGAGACCATCAAGGTCCTCCTTGGAGTTATTCAGGAGCTGGAGAAAGGTGAAGCACAGAGAGAGGGGTGAGTAAAGTTTATTTTACAGTGCTAATCCGTAGACATGAAGCCAGATAGAGTCAACACACATTGTGTATGTAAATTTTATGCAATGCAGAGAGAAACACAATTAAGGGAAATGCTAATTCATTTCATCTTTAGTCTCATTTTCATACCATTGGACATGATTTCTATTGGTTATGAAAATTTACACACTGGAGTACTCTATCTGGAAATACAGAAACATCACCATGCCACTGAAACATTGACAAGGCAAAGCACAGGCAGACAGTTAAAGTGGTTGTAAAACATCCACAGTTTTGACAGGTTATTTTAACTGCTCTGTTTGGAGAACAGTAAACAGTGACAGCAGCAAACCTCATCTCACAGGAACACTGCGCACAAATAGAAAAAAACTGATTTTAGCGAGGGAGATGGTACATAAATACTGATGTTTTTACAACGTATAAAGAAATTTTCTTCACGAATGAACTTCATTAATCATGGTGATAGTGTGAAGATTTATTATGCACAGCTTAGAGCATAAACAAAGTGGGAAAATACTTTGACCTCAGACCAACATAACTGCTTTTACCAGGCGCACAACTGATGCTTGGGATATCTTAAATATCAGTCTTTACAAGAACAACTTTAAGTTCATGCCATAAAAAAGGAAAACACTCTGGACACATAGCTGACAAAACATCATTGTTCCATTTAGGTACATCTCTGATGATGAACGAGGTGTACCTACAGTGGCAGAGCAGTGCATTTGGAGTAACTCTGGATAAACCATACATAACATCTGTCTTTATTCGTAATGCAAAAAAAAAATAAAGGCAATGCATTATGCAGTAAAAATTTTTATCACAAGACATTTAAGATGTCTGCTATGCAGTAATTTCACCATTCATATAAGTTGTGAGATGGTAATATGTCCCATGGCTGCTGTCCTCTATGGGGCAGTGTTCACTTTAGATGTCAACAACTCAAACCAGTTTTGTGACTTGTAGACACGGTAATGTACATTCTAGAACACAACACGACTTTCTAAATCCTAAGAATTCCAGACTGAGTCCTGTAAAAATGACAAAAGTAGAGTAAAAGGACTGGCAAAAGGACTGGGGAAATACTGTGTCAGACAACTGTCAAACTATCAATATTGTGGATTGGCGCACTGCACCAATCCTCCATTCATTTACATCCACAATTCCTTTACCATTTTAAGCTGTTGGTGTCAATATTATACCCGCAATGTGTCAAAATCATGGTGTGGGAACGCATATACAATTTTGGAATTTGATTTGCCGACAAATGGTACGAATAACTGCACCGCTGTCGGAAAGAAAACACAATAGTTGTGCAGTTTTTGAAGCTTTTACAGTGGAAATGCAAGGTTAGGGTCTGCAATCCATAAAAGATGCATTCTTATTGAGACTATGTTGGTAAGTACATTATAGAATATATATATATATATATATATATATATTAGACAAAAAAACATTAATAGGAACTTCACAAAATCCTTAAGCCATTTCCACAGTCATACAGCAGCACTTTTCCAAGAATCAACAAACTCCATTTCTAAAACCCCATAGCACCTTAGTGAAGCTCTGTGGGACTTGGTTTTAAAGGCCCAATTAGTGAAGCCTCATAAAACATTGCCTTTCATCTCAAGAAAACTCTGCTGGCTGTAGTGCCTCCACAATGCTGTTTTCCAGCATTGTATGCCGCTGTTATTAGAGAAGTGCAATTTTAGAACAGAAAGGCTTCTATCTATAGTGCATTTGAAAATGCTCCTTCCTGTGCCTTTGGTGGACAGTGAAATGCTCTTCCTAAAACTATACTGTTAGTAGAGCCAAAAGGTGACTTTAAGCATCTCTTATGTAAGCATCCATTAATATATCATGTACAATAGGTATAAGCCATCCCTTTGCTTTTAGCATCAATGCAATAACAAAAGGGTAAGAGGAGTCCTAATTTATAATAAAAAAAAGGTATGGGACAGTGTAAAAGGGCAGGAGAAATTTATACCACAGGCTAAATAGGTTCCTCCAATGATAAGCTCTTTTTTTTCATCTGAAGGTGGGTGCTTAATTGGGTGCTTTATTTTCAATTATTATTATTTGCTGTAACAGTAACAAAATCAATAAAGAATACAGATTATATTGTGCCCTAAGATAGAAATCGAGTACCCAATTTATATTAATAATTTTGCCCTTTTGCCAAGATTTTTCCAAAATCATATTTATTTTCCTATCTCAGACCTACTACAGGATTAGCCAATATAAATAATAGTCTGTAATGGACAAGATTTACTTTAGAGGATCAGATTACTTTTACCTGCCTCAAAAGGTGCATGAATAAGCATCTTACCTGGGCTTAAAATGAAACCTTGATTCTGTAGACCACACTCCATTTTACACCATATCAGATGCATTACAGCTGCGTATTTTAATCTGTCCATTAGTGAATTTGTATTTGATTCATTTTTTTCATAACTTCAATAAACACCAAAAATCAGTTTAAAGTTGTCATGATTAAACTTTAATATATCATACATTATATTGTGTACATATGTTTGCTTTTTTACTATGAAGATACTGTCAATAAAATTGTCCTTCCTAGAGCTTGAGCCCCTCTAATCTAAAACTACTCAGTTTTGTCAAAAATGGAAGGATTGATGTGCTTTAAAAAAAATGCTGCTCCTTAGATTACACTCATGGTTTTGTCTTGATTTGTGTTGGCCTGACTCATGCTCATCACAGTAGTAAGTCAGGGCTGAGTATCAGCCTTGGAATTGCACAGTCTCTGTGACTAAAAAGCATGGATTCTGAAAGCTGGTATTTATATGAGAAACAAACAGAAAACCAAACCAGTCGCTGCTTAGCGTGGGATGCATCTTGGGCCTCATGTATAAAACCCCACAATCTCTACAACAAAAGAGGGCACAGTCACAAAATTTATATCACAAAAAATTTGCTATGAAAGAATCACATCTATAAAACTGATCACTCCTAATTCAACGCACCTTTATCCACTCCAGCGACGGTAAAACGGACCACACATTCACAATACAGTAATCCGACCACAGATCCTTCCAACAATGACACAATGCACAATACAAATATGTCCTGTCACCTAATGCCTATTAAACAATATATTTAAGAAGAAAAAGAGAAGCTTCAAAGAACGTGAGATGGATGTGTTGTTTACAGAGGCAGAAGACGGGAAACTTGTAACGATTAGTTGTTTATGTACTGTATCAGTAAGCTATCCCATACGGAGTACTGAAGAGGAAAGTACTGAAGAGCTGCAATCACTGCAGTGAGCTCGGAGAGATGCGCAGATGAAAAGACTGGGCTGCTGTTTCATTTTTGTCTTACATGAGAAAAAAAATCTAATTGATTCACAGTCAATAGGTTTTACACAGTCACGCAAATTAATGATATTTGTCGTGAATTGTAAAGCAAAAAAAAACAAAAAAACCAGAACGTCTGGTTCCTGTCTGATGCCCAGTGATTACTGAAGGAAATGAGGACAGAGAGAGGGAAGGTCTGAGTTCACCCTGCATCTCCATGGTAGCTGATGCAGTGCTCCTGCAAGGACTCGCTGCATCCTGAGCCCCCACTGTGGAGGGTCAATAAGACCATCAACTCTTCCTGGCTGGGAGTCACAGAATGTAATTAATAATACCAGGCCATTAAAGACATTCACAAGGATTTTTCAGAAGAACAATGCACTTGAATAAATGAGCTGTTCACCGGAGTAACTGGTTAAAGATACATGCCTAGACTAAGCCCACCAGATGCTGTCTGGCAGCTGCTTTTGTCAGAGGGCTTTCCTCCCCAGAGAGGTGGAAGTGTGTGCCTCGCCTCCTATCGTTCATGTCTCTGCTCCTCAGCAACTGTACAATACGTGACATGATACTGTGTGTCCATGAACAGAGAATGGTCTAGTTTTAGCGGTCTAGCCAAAGTGAGAAGACATGTCAGCCGTGGGGAATTATAGGTTAACAATACATTCTTGTCGTGGATACTGTAATAAAAAGAGCACCAGAGCAATAAAAGCAACATTTACATTAAAAACGAGGATAATTCCAATTTACAGGCGATGATGCATTGTAAGGTTAGCTTTCTGATGGTTGACTAATTCCCAAATGATTGGTCCAATTACATAGTTTCTCACATAATCATGACGTCGCATAGACTAACTGGAGTGGAAACATTATGTGATGATCTATGTGAACTTAGTGCTTGTGATGTTATCAGCCAAGTTGTTGAGAAGATACAAGACCACAACCAAATCCTGCGGTTCTAATGTCTGAATATTTCTATGTGAGAGTTACAATATCATTTATGATAGAGACATAGCATATACATATTCAACTAAGCGATGTACTGACAATTTCTGTGACATAAAGCTCACAGAGAGGTATTGTTTGGCACTTTCAGTAAACACTTGTGTTTGAATTCTTTCCCATCTGTTATGGCCAGCTTGTGGGGGAGCATAACAAAGAAAGAGGAGGTCCACACAGTGACAATTAAGGGTGATGTGCTTTTAATGAAGGAAACTCAAAATCTACATACTCTATTTGAAAGTCAGTCATCGGTAGTGAGGTGTAAGGTGAGTGGAAACAAGTGTAAACAGAAAACCAAACAAACCAACCAAACATAACCAAAGCTGAAACCATGATGCTGAGTGCCCGGGAGGCACCAGTCTTCAATGGGGGAGAGAACCATCTTGGTTACCTGGACTCTTATAGAGTCTTCACAGGTGTGTGAAATGAGAGGGGAAGAGCCAGCCAGTAGCACAAGGGACATCACAGACAACAGGGACAACAGGGACAAAATGGCGGACGGCCATCACACATCCTATCCAATGTTCTTTCATTTCTCTACCTGGCTGTCACCCGAAAGTGGTGGGGCTTATATATAATAAATACCTTCTTAAACTTTTTGCTTAGTGTAAGAAATTTAAAAATACTTAGCTGGGGTAACATGAGTGTACACATGAAGTGAATTTTCCCCCAAAACAGAATAAAACCTTGCAGTCTCACAAATTGTTAGACTTCATTGTGACAGGTTTTATTTGCAGATGACAAATTTAGGTATTAAAACTGCTGGAGAGAGGCCGGGCAGTGCGCTGTTAATCCGGTCTGACCTTTCAGGAACAGTGCATAAATATGCTGATATGCATTATAATGCATTGACCTCTTTTTGACCCATTACGGGTTGTTCCTCTTGTTTTTCAGAATCTGTTTCCAGGTTAAATATTTGTAGTTTAAAAACTTCAACATTTAGCTGTTGGGTATTTTTTTATAGTTCTTTAAAATAATCAGAGGTGTGCAGGTACGTTTGAACTTATGGAGGAAAAAAGAGAGCAGTGTTAGCTAATTAACTCCGTAATACAGTTGTGCATACTATCATAGGTAACATGTAGGAACTGTGATCAATTTGTCTGAAAATCTGGGGGTGATCATCTGCCTGGAATAACTTCAAAACATGTCATTTGGAGGAGTTTTTGTCAGTATAATTTATGTGGAGATTGAAATTTAGAGACAAAAAGTTGAAATGACTAAGAAGTGAAACACAACATAATCATTAGAGTGAATTAAGTAATATAAACAACTGTTCTGCGTGTGACTGGTTCATTTTCATCTGTCTTACTGTATATGTAAATAGAATAAATAATGCGTGTCCTTGATCGATAATTCATCATTAAGATACATTTGAAAGCTAGTTGGTTAAAAAAAAAAATTATATATATATACGTATGTGTGTATGTGTGTATGTGTGTGTGTGTGTGTGTGTGTGTGTGTGTGAATGTGAGAGGGAAGGAATTTTATAGTAAGCTGACGGTATTGAAGCTGCTCATTACACAGATGAATGCCCATTCACTGGTGCAAAAAAAATAAATTACTGAGATGTGGAAAAAAAAATTATATGCTCAAATCAGTCATCCTTCACCATAATCCCGACAGATGGATGGCTACCTGTTTAGTGTACACAAAGAGAACAAAACAGGCCTGAACTGTTGACCCTGACTGTGAAGAAAGGTGTCACTCTGATATGTTGTTGGGGACACGTTGACCTCTCGGAGGAAAGGGTCACCGAATAGCAATGTGAAGCTGTGTTCACCTTTAGGGTATAATGATGGGAGCAGACTCTTCCAGGATGATAATACTCCCATCCATCGGTTGTGACAGGTCACTGAATTGTCTGATGAGAATGAAAATGTATGTTATAAGCTTTGTCCTCCACGGTCATCACAGTCCAGACAGCTAACACACTCTGCCACCATCATCAAAACACAGGTTGAGAAGATATATTACGGCAGCCTTATTAAGGTGCTTTATATTGGTGTGTCCATTAGTTTCATAAGTGTAGGTATTCAACTGTTTATACTACGGATTAAATGAACAATAGGAAGTAACTTATTTTCTCTCACATGATCACGTGTAATAACTGATGATGTCACTTTTTAAAGGCATTTAAGTGATTCTTAAAAAAGAAAGTAAAAAACAATCCATTTTTTCAACATATGACTGACTTCTTTTAAGGTTTTACAGACATCAGGGAAAGAGCTGAATCTAAATTATATTTGACCATTTACATTACGTCCCTACAAATGACCTAGCAGTCTAATAGCAGTTGTAGTTTAATGTGTCTTTGCATTAGCAAAACCAGCACTTGATTGTGTAAAGAGGCGGTACACAATCAAGCAAACAGTGATACAGCATATTTCATAAGAATATCAATTGGTAACTATATCTCTGGTGTAATTATCAACAAAGTCAGTCAGTAAGTTTAATCTTCGCAGTGTTCATTCCATTCACACATCATGATGTAAAACAGACTAGTATTCCTTTTGAAATAATAGCGTTAGCATATAGCAGCAGACAAGGCAGGCCATGTAAGTGTAAGTGGACTGATACATGCAGAATGACTAACTTGGACAAATAAAACACTGGTGAGTTATTTCTAACGGTTTGCTTTTAGAGAAGTCTTTCAGAAATGCACTTCATTTAGAAGACTCTTTGGTACCGACTTCCTATGCCTCGATACACTGTTGCTAGAATGGGTCATGACCATTTTACCCTAAATAGGAAGTGGTTATGCGGAATACATGCAGTTGTGTATGTAGTCTGATGTAATTTTATTACTTGGGGGAAACTCGTTAAATGACAACAGTTGACATTAAGATCAGGGCAGCAGCACAACAGAGGAGTAGACCTTGTCTGTGCGTTGAGTTACTGTCCTTGCTCACAGCTGTTTGAGGAGACTTTATTTGAGATGTGGGTAGGATGGATGAACTTGTTGCCCTTGAGCTCTCATCAGCATTTTCGATCCATGCGGGGACCGTTCTGTTTCCCCCTGGTGGGGTCACCTCTCATGTCATCACTGTGAACAGTTGAGGTCCAACCTCTCCGCGTGTCATCCATCAGGATAAAGGGCTACGACGACAGGAAGCAATTACACATGACTCTAACACGGCTCCTCCCGCACCATTCCCGTATATCTGCAGCCCACTTGTGCATGCAGTGATGCATGGTGCACTTACAATAGTGCACACATGCTTATGTAAAGGAAGGGTAATGCATGGCAGCAATATGAAAGAGAGACATTTAGAGCAAGGAAATCCATTGGATATTTACTGTTTCTGTTTTTGCTTGCAAACCTTTTAACACCATACGCCACCTTTTTTTCACTTGGTGTTTAGCAATTTAGGTGCAAAATTGTTTCACTCTTAAAAATCATTAGACCCACAGGAAAAGGACAGACTGTAGTCTCTTTCTTTATGAAACAAATTGAGCTGAGTATGTTGTGAAGCTGTACAGTTGAGCCTTCAATGTAAATTAAATCATATGGTTTGCTGTTTATCACATGCCATTGCTTGTAGAATAAAGAAAGGAAATTAATCACACTCAGATGGTAAAGCAAGGTAATCCCATTAATTAAATTCAGAAAGTCAACATACCTAATTAACAAACCAAGGAGATCTACAGGATCAGATGTCCCTGAGGTTGTTGTTTTTTTTTTTGCAGCTGGATGCAGAGCAGGGTGAAAACCCTGCCCAGTAATTCTAGAGGCTGCAGCCCACAGGTGTTGAATTTTAAAGGTAAAGCTTTTCACTTTGGGTGCTTTGTGTCTATCTCTTTTTTCACAGGCTGTCCTACAGAACCGGACAAGACACCGCAAATTGTGATACATGCCGAAACAGCGCCTGCATTATTTACAGGTAGGCCTTCTGCTCTCCCATTCATAAATGTTCTGCACGATTAGAATGAGTTATTTTATTTTATGATTGGTGCAGAGATGCTTGGTTTTTCATGCCAGTTCAGCTACCCTTCCTCTCCATATCATGAACATAAAGAATATGTAAAAACTATTGTCATGTTGATGTGATCCTACAAATGTGCAAATATCTACCTTAAAATATTGTTAAGATTTGCACATACAGAAATGTTGAGTCCTATTGTAATATAATTTTATTCAGGGACATTGTAGCCACAAATACAACCATAGCTCCTATATGAAACTGCATTACTCATATGAGATAACATTAAGTAGAGACCCTTGTCTTAGCCTTTTTCAAAGCTTCTTAACAGGCTAAATGTTCTCATTTTTGCATCAAATTTTGAAATGATTACATTAGTTATGATTGACATGATTGTGGCCCTCTCTGTCCAACTGATTCCACACTGCGTCAGTGATGTTGTGGTCTGGGCTCTGGAGACAATTCATCTCACCTTTAGAACGGGTGTCATAAAATTCAATCCAGTTCTCGTGTCATTTCCTGTATCTCCATGTTCCCTTCTGTGAGAATAGCTTCCCTGACAGTCATTCATCCATGAAGACCATTTCTGATTAAGCTTCAGTGAAAAGAACGGATCAATTAAAGGGTCAGACGCTTCACTCGGGTGCCGTGTCAGGCCTTTGCGGGATTTTGTCCTATTTCATCACATTCAGATGCTGTTCGTCGCCTCTACTGTTCTGGGAATGCCACCTCTTCTTTTGTTCTTCACCTGTCCAGTTTTACTCAATTTTTAGGACAAATGGCAGGTCATACTGAGATACGGCAACTCTCCAGCTAATAGTAAAATCACCTTGTTGGTAACGTTTTATGCTGAAACGATTAATAAGTCAGTGTGAAAGTGGAATTGGCTTGTTAAAAAATAGTAAAAAAACACATTCCTCTCAAAACAGGCAAGACTCTTTGAGAGCTTTTGCTGCTGGGAAGCAGAACAAATATAATGAATAAATAGCTAATTCAATTTTTAAAAAACATGCTCAACTTCAAACACATAAAAAAATGAATATGCCAGAAACATGTAGAGCAAATCAATTGAATACCTCTCAATAATGATATTCATATACATATGTGTAATTTTTCTATTTATATTATCTACTACAGTCGTTCAGGATTTTTGCATTGCTCTCCCACAGCTTGTGGGTGGCTGGGCATTGAATTTAATGTTCCTTCATAACCTGAGAATTTCTCGGGATACCAGGGTTTCCTCTCACCAATCAAATATATGGATGTTTCATATAAGGAAGCCCTGTGATGAACTGAACTGCCTCTTACCCAAAGACAGCTGAGAGGCCGGTTGGCCAACTGGATGGATGGATGGATGGATGGA